TTATAGAACTCCCGTAAGCTGCATTTCCCTGCAACCAGGTTACAGAACACCCATTAGCTGCATCTCCCACACACGGGCTATAGAAAACCTGCAGAGTGCATATTGCTACTCCCACACTACAGAACTCTGTAAAGTGCTTCTAACTACACCGAGCGTACAGAATCCCATAAACTGCATCTCTCACCACCCAGCTTACTGAACTCCAGTAAGCTGCGTCTCCTACAGTTAAGCTGCACCAAAACCGCAAATCGCGTATTGCTACTCCCAAGCTACACAACACTGTATACTGCTTTTCTATATACCAGGGAAACAGAACTCTCATCAACTACATTGCCCTTCACCAATGTTACAAAACAAACGTTGCTGCATCTCCCACACTCGTGTTATGGAAAACCTGCATATTGTGCATTGCTACTTCCATGCTACAGAACTCTGTAAAGTACTTCTCTGTACATCCAGGCTACAGAACTCTTGCAAACTGCTTCTCTCTAGACCCAGGATACAGAAATACTGCAAGCTGTGTCTGCTACACTCACGCTACGGATATCCCAGATATAGCATACTCCAACTCCCAGGCTACAGAACTCTTGTAAACTGCTTCATTCTACACCCAGGATACGGAACTCTGTTAAACTGCATCTCTCTACCCCAATGTCACAAAAAGCACGTGAGCTGCATCTCCTACACTCAGGCTATAGAAATCCCACTTATTTCGAATGTCTACTCCCAGGCTACAGAACTCTTGTAAACTTCTTTCTAGACCTAGGATACAGAAATACGGTAAGCTGTGTCTGCTGCACCAAGGCTACAGATATCCCAGATATTGCGAATGCCTACTCCCAGGCTACAGAACTCATGCAAACTGCTTCTCTCAATACCCAGGTTACAGAAATCCTGTACAGTGCGAATGCCTACTCCCAGGCATTCATTCTACAGCTCATAGCAAACCCGCATATTGCGTATTGCTAGTCCCAGGCTCCAGAACTCTTGTAAACGCCTTCATTCTACACCCAGGATACAGAATTCTGGTAAACTGCATCTCTCTACCCAACCTAACAACAAGCACATGAGCTGCATCTCCCACATTCAGGTTATAGGAAACCCACATATTGTGTATTGCTACTCCCATGCTACAGAACTCGGTAAACTGTTTCTCTCTGTAAGCAGCTTCCACAATTCCCATAAACTGCATCTCTCCACACCCAGCTTATAAAACTCCTGTAAGCTGCATTTCCCTGCAACCAGGTTACAGAACACCCATTAGCTGCGTCTCCCACACACGGGCTATAGAAAACCTGCAGAGTGCATATTGCTACTTCCACACTACAGAACTCTGTAAAGTGCTTCTAACTACACCGAGCGTACAGAATCCCATAAACTGCATCTCTCACCACCCAGCTTACTGAACTCCCCTAAGCTGCGTCTCCTACAGTTAAGCTACACAAAAACCGCAAATCGCGTATTGCTACTCCCAAGCTACACAACACTGTATACTGCTTTTCTATATACCAGGGAAACAGAACTCTCATCAACTACATTGCCCTTCACCAATGTCACAAAACCCCCGTTACCTTGTCTCCCTCACTCGTGTTACGGAAAACCTGCATATTGTGCATTGCTACTTCCATGCTACAGAACTCTGTAAAGTACTTCTCTGTACATCCAGACTACAGAACTCTTGTACACTGCTTCTCTCTAGACCAAGCATACAGAAATACCGCAAGCTGTGTCTGCTATACTCACGCTACAGATGTTCCAGATATTGCGTACTCCTACTCCCAGGCTACAGAACTCTTGTAAACTGCTTCTCTCTAGACCCAGGATACAGAACTCTGTTAAACTGCATCTCTCTACCCCAATGTCACAAAAAGCACGTGAGCTGCATCTGCTACACTCAGGCTGTAGATATCCCGGATATTGCGAATGCCAAATCCCAGGTTACAGGAATCTTGTAAATTCTCTACACACAGGATACCGAACTCCCGGAAACTGCATTTCCCTTCATCGAGGTTACGGTACTCCCGTCAGCTATGTCTCCCACACTTGGGCTATAGAAAACACGCATATTGCATATTGCGGCTCCCAGAACTTTGTAAACTACTTTTCTCTAACCCAGGTTACAGAACTCCCATAAACTGCAGCTCTCACCACCCAGCTTATAGAACTCCCGTAAGCTGCATTTCCCTGCACCCAGGTTACAGAACACCCGTTAACTGCGTCTCCCACACACGGGCTATAGAAAACCTGCAGAGTGCGTATTGGCTACTTCCACACTACAGAACTCTGTAAAGTGCTTCTAACTACACCGAGCGTACAGAATCCCATAAACTGCATCTCTCACCACCCAGCTTACTGAACTCCCCTAAGCTGCGTCTCCTACAGTTAAGCTACACAAAAACCGCAAATCGCGTATTGCTACTCCCAAGCTACACAACACTGTATACTGCTTTTCTATATACCAGGGAAACAGAACTCTCATCAACTACATTGCCCTTCACCAATGTCACAAAACCCTCGTTACCTCGTCTCCCTCACTCGTGTTACAGAAAACCCGGTTATTGTGCATTGCTACTTCCATGCTACAGAACTCTGTAAAGTACTTCTCTGTACATCCAGGCTACAGAACTCTTGCAAACTGCTTCTCTCTAGACCCAGGATACAGAAATACTGCAAGCTGTGTCTGCTACACTCACGCTACGGATATCCCAGATATAGCGTACTCCAACTCCCAGGCTACAGAACTCTTGTAAACTGCTTCATTCTACACCCAGGATACGGAACTCTGTTAAACTGCATCTCTCTACCCCACCGTCACAAAAAGCACGTGAGCTGCATCTCCTACACTCAGGCTATAGAAATCCCACTTATTTCGAATGTCTACTCCCAGGCTACAGAACTCTTGTAAACTTCTTTCTAGACCTAGGATACAGAAATACGGTAAGCTGTGTCTGCTGCACCAAGGCTACAGATATCCCAGATATTGCGAATGCCTACTCCCAGGCTACAGAACTCATGCAAACTGCTTCTCTCAATACCCAGGTTACAGAAATCCTGTACAGTGCGAATGCCTACTCCCAGGCATTCATTCTACAGCTCATAGCAAACCCGCATATTGCGTATTGCTAGTCCCAGGCTCCAGAACTCTTGTAAACGCCTTCATTCTACACCCAGGATACAGAATTCTGGTAAACTGCATCTCTCTACCCAACCTAACAACAAGCACATGAGCTGCATCTCCCACATTCAGGTTATAGGAAACCCACATATTGTGTATTGCTACTCCCATGCTACAGAACTCGGTAAACTGTTTCTCTCTGTAAGCAGCTTCCACAATTCCCATAAACTGCATCTCTCCACACCCAGCTTATAAAACTCCCGTAAGCTGCATTTCCCTGCAACCAGGTTACAGAACACCCATTAGCTGCGTCTCCCACACACGGGCTATAGAAAACCTGCAGAGTGCATATTGCTACTCCCACACTACAGAACTCTGTAAAGTGCTTCTAACTACACCGAGCGTACAGAATCCCATAAACTGCATCTCTCACCACCCAGCTTACTGAATTCCCCTAAGCTGCGTCTCCTACAGTTAAGCTACACAAAAACCGCAAATCGCGTATTGCTACTCCCAAGCTACACAACACTGTATACTGCTTTTCTATATACCAGGGAAACAGAACTCTCATCAACTACATTGCCCTTCACCAATGTCACAAAACCCCCGTTACCTTGTCTCCCTCACTCGTGTTACGGAAAACCTGCATATTGTGCATTGCTACTTCCATGCTACAGAACTCTGTAAAGTACTTCTCTGTACATCCAGACTACAGAACTCTTGTACACTGCTTCTCTCTAGACCAAGCATACAGAAATACCGCAAGCTGTGTCTGCTATACTCACGCTACAGATGTTCCAGATATTGCGTACTCCTACTCCCAGGCTACAGAACTCTTGTAAACTGCTTCTCTCTAGACCCAGGATACAGAACTCTGTTAAACTGCATCTCTCTACCCCAATGTCACAAAAAGCACGTGAGCTGCATCTCCTACACTCAGGCTGTAGATATCCCGGATATTGCGAATGCCGAATCCCAGGTTACAGGAATCTTGTAAATTCTCTACACACAGGATACCGAACTCCCGGAAACTGCATTTCCCTTCATCGAGGTTACGGTACTCCCGTCAGCTATGTCTCCCACACTTGGGCTATAGAAAACACGCATATTGCATATTGCGGCTCCCAGAACTTTGTAAACTACTTTTCTCTAACCCAGGTTACAGAACTCCCATAAACTGCAGCTCTCACCACCCAGCTTATAGAACTCCCGTAAGCTGCATTTCCCTGCACCCAGGTTACAGAACACCCGTTAACTGCGTCTCCCACACACGGGCTATAGAAACCTGCAGAGTGCGTATTGGCTACTTCCACACTACAGAACTCTGTAAAGTGCTTCTAACTACACCGAGCGTACAGAATCCCATAAACTGCATCTCTCACCACCCAGCTTACTGAACTCCCCTAAGCTGCGTCTCCTACAGTTAAGCTACACCAAAACCGCAAATCGCGTATTGCTACTCCCAAGCTACACAACACTGTATACTGCTTTTCTATATACCAGGGAAACAGAACTCTCATCAACTACATTGCCCTTCACCAATGTCACAAAACCCTCGTTACCTCGTCTCCCTCACTCGTGTTACAGAAAACCCGGTTATTGTGCATTGCTACTTCCATGCTACAGAACTCTGTAAAGTACTTCTCTGTACATCCAGGCTACAGAACTCTTGCAAACTGCTTCTCTCTAGACCCAGGATACAGAAATACTGCAAGCTGTGTCTGCTACACTCACGCTACGGATATCCCAGATATAGCGTACTCCAACTCCCAGGCTACAGAACTCTTGTAAACTGCTTCATTCTACACCCAGGATACGGAACTCTGTTAAACTGCATCTCTCTACCCCACCGTCACAAAAAGCACGTGAGCTGCATCTCCTACACTCAGGCTATAGAAATCCCACTTATTTCGAATGTCTACTCCCAGGCTACAGAACTCTTGTAAGCTTCTTCTTTCTAGACCTAGGATACAGAAATACGGTAAGCTGTGTCTGCTGCACCAAGGCTACAGATATCCCAGATATTGCGAATGCCTACTCCCAGGCTACAGAACTGGTGCAAACTGCTTCTCTCAATACCCAGGTTACAGAAATCCTGTACAGTGCGAATGCCTACTCCCAGGCATTCATTCTACAGCTCATAGCAAACCCGCATATTGCGTTTTGCTAGTCCCAGGCTCCAGAACTCTTGTAAACGCCTTCATTCTACACCCAGGATACAGAATTCTGGTAAACTGCATCTCTCTACCCAACCTAACAACAAGCACATGAGCTGCATCTCCCACATTCAGGTTATAGGAAACCCACATATTGTGTATTGCTACTCCCACGCTACAGAACTCGGTAAACTGTTTCTCTCTGTAAGCAGCTTCCACAATTCCCATAAACTGCATCTCTCCACACCCAGCTTATAGAACTCCCGGAGGCTGCATTTCCCTGCAACCAGGTTACAGAACACCCATTAGCTGCATCTCCCACACACGGGCTATAGAAAACCTGCAGAGTGCATATTGCTACTCCCACACTACAGAACTCTGTAAAGTGCTTCTAACTACACCGAGCGTACAGAATCCCATAAACTGCATCTCTCACCACCCAGCTTACTGAACTCCCCTAAGCTGCGTCTCCTACAGTTAAGCTACACAAAAACCGCAAATCGCGTATTGCTACTCCCAAGCTACACAACACTGTATACTGCTTTTCCATATACCAGGGAAACAGAACTCTCATCAACTACATTGCCCTTCACCAATGTCACAAAACCCCCGTTACCTTGTCTCCCTCACTCGTGTTATGGAAAACCTGCATATGGTGCATTGCTACTTCCATGCTACAGAACTCTGTAAAGTACTTCTCTGTACATCCAGACTACAGAACTCTTGTACACTGCTTCTCTCTAGACCAAGGATACAGAAATACCGCAAGCTGTGTCTGCTATACTCACGCTACAGATGTTCCAGATATTGCGTACTCCTACTCCCAGGCTACAGAACTCTTGTACACTGCATATCCCAAGACCCAGGATACTGAAATACCACAAGCTGTGTCTTCTACACATAAGCCACAGGTATCCCAGATATTGGGAATGCCTACTCCCAGGCTACAGAACTGGTGCAAACTGCTTCTCTCAACACTCAGGTTACTGAAATCCTTTACAGTGCGAACGCCTACCCCCAGGCATTCATTCTACAGCTCATAGCAAACCCGCATATTGCGTATTGCTAGTCCCAGGCTCCAGAACTCTTGTAAACGCCTTCATTCTACACCCAGGATACAGAATTCTGGTAAACTGCATCTCTCTACCCAACCTAACAACAAGCACATGAGCTGCATCGCCCACATTCAGGTTATAGGAAACCCACATATTGCATATTGCTACTCCCCCGCATGGGCTATAGAAAACCTGCAGAGTGCGTATGCAACTCCCACACTACAGAACTCTGTAAAGTGCTTCTAACTACACCGAGCGTACAGAATCCCATAAACTGCATCTCTCACCACCCAGCTTACTGAACTCCAGTAAGCTGCGTCTCCTACAGTTAAGCTACACCAAAACCGCAAATCGCGTATTGCTACTCCCAAGCTACACAACACTGTATACTGCTTTTCTATATACCAGGGAAACAGAACTCTCATCAACTACATTGCCCTTCACCAATGTTACAAAACAACCGTTGCTGCATCTCCCACACTCGTGTTATGGAAAACCTGCATATTGTGCATTGCTACTTCCATGCTACAGAACTCTGTAAAGTACTTCTCTGTACATCCAGGCTACAGAACTCTTGTAAACTGCTTCTCTCTAGACCCAGGATACAGAAATACTGCAAGCTGCGTTTGCTACACTCACGCTACGGATATCCCAGATATAGCGTACTCCAACTCCCAGGCTACAGAACTCTTGTAAACTGCTTCATTCTACACCCAGGATACGGAACTCTGTTAAACTGCATCTCTCTACCCCAATGTCACAAAAAGCACGTGAGCTGCATCTCCTACACTCAGGCTATAGAAATCCCACTTATTTCGAATGTCTACTCCCAGGCTACAGAACTCTTGTACACTGCATATCCCAAGACCCAGGATACTGAAATACCGTAAGCTGTGTCTTCTACACATAAGCCACAGGTATCCCAGATATTGGAATGCCTACTCCCAGGCTACAGAACTGGTGCAAACTGCTTCTCTCAACACTCAGGTTACTGAAATCCTTTACAGTGCGAACGCCTACCCCCAGGCATTCATTCTACAGCTCATAGCAAACCCGCATATTGCGTATTGCTAGTCCCAGGCTCCAGAACTCTTGTAAACGCCTTCATTCTACACCCAGGATACAGAATTCTGGTAAACTGCATCTCTCTACCCAACCTAACAACAAGCACATGAGCTGCATCTCCCACATTCAGGTTATAGGAAACCCACATATTGCATATTGCTACTCCCCCGCATGGGCTATAGAAAACCTGCAGAGTGCGTATGCAACTCCCACACTACAGAACTCTGTAAAGTGCTTCTAACTACACCGAGCGTACAGAATCCCATAAACTGCATCTCTCACCACCCAGCTTACTGAACTCCAGTAAGCTGCGTCTCCTACAGTTAAGCTACACCAAAACCGCAAATCGCGTATTGCTACTCCCAAGCTACACAACACTGTATACTGCTTTTCTATATACCAGGGAAACAGAACTCTCATCAACTACATTGCCCTTCACCAATGTTACAAAACAACCGTTGCTGCATCTCCCACACTCGTGTTATGGAAAACCTGCATATTGTGCATTGCTACTTCCATGCTACAGAACTCTGTAAAGTACTTCTCTGTACATCCAGGCTACAGAACTCTTGTAAACTGCTTCTCTCTAGACCCAGGATACAGAAATACTGCAAGCTGCGTTTGCTACACTCACGCTACGGATATCCCAGATATAGCGTACTCCAACTCCCAGGCTACAGAACTCTTGTAAACTGCTTCATTCTACACCCAGGATACGGAACTCTGTTAAACTGCATCTCTCTACCCCAATGTCACAAAAAGCACGTGAGCTGCATCTCCTACACTCAGGCTATAGAAATCCCACTTATTTCGAATGTCTACTCCCAGGCTACAGAACTCTTGTAAGCTTCTTCTTTCTAGACCTAGGATACAGAAATACGGTAAGCTGTGTCTGCTGCACCAAGGCTACAGATATCCCAGATATTGCGAATGCCTACTCCCAGGCTACAGAACTGGTGCAAACTGCTTCTCTCAATACCCAGGTTACAGAAATCCTGTACAGTGCGAATGCCTACTCCCAGGCATTCATTCTACAGCTCATAGCAAACCCGCATATTGCGTTTTGCTAGTCCCAGGCTCCAGAACTCTTGTAAACGCCTTCATTCTACACCCAGGATACAGAATTCTGGTAAACTGCATCTCTCTACCCAACCTAACAACAAGCACATGAGCTGCATCTCCCACATTCAGGTTATAGGAAACCCACATATTGCGTATTGCTACTCCCACGCTACAGAACTCGGTAAACTGTTTCTCTCTGTAAGCAGCTTCCACAATTCCCATAAACTGCATCTCTCCACACCCAGCTTATAGAACTCCCGGAGGCTGCATTTCCCTGCAACCACGTTACAGAACACCCATTAGCTGCATCTCCCACACACGGGCTATAGAAAACCTGCAGAGTGCATATTGCTACTCCCACACTACAGAACTCTGTAAAGTGCTTCTAACTACACCGAGCGTACAGAATCCCATAAACTGCATCTCTCACCACCCAGCTTACTGAACTCCCCTAAGCTGAGTCTCCTACAGTTAAGCTACACAAAAACCGCAAATCGCGTATTGCTACTCCCAAGCTACACAACACTGTATACTGCTTTTCCATATACCAGGGAAACAGAACTCTCATCAACTACATTGCCCTTCACCAATGTCACAAAACCCCCGTTACCTTGTCTCCCTCACTCGTGTTATGGAAAACCTGCATATTGTGCATTGTTACTTCCATGCTACAGAACTCTGTAAAGTACTTCTCTGTACATCCAGACTACAGAACTCTTGTACACTGCTTCTCTCTAGACCAAGGATACAGAAATACCGCAAGCTGTGTCTGCTATACTCACGCTACAGATGTTCCAGATATTGCGTACTCCTACTCCCAGGCTACAGAACTCTTGTACACTGCATATCCCAAGACCCAGGATACTGAAATACCACAAGCTGTGTCTTCTACACATAAGCCACAGGTATCCCAGATATTGGGAATGCCTACTCCCAGGCTACAGAACTGGTGCAAACTGCTTCTCTCAACACTCAGGTTACTGAAATCCTTTACAGTGCGAACGCCTACCCCCAGGCATTCATTCTACAGCTCATAGCAAACCCGCATATTGCGTATTGCTAGTCCCAGGCTCCAGAACTCTTGTAAACGCCTTCATTCTACACCCAGGATACAGAATTCTGGTAAACTGCATCTCTCTACCCAACCTAACAACAAGCACATGAGCTGCATCTCCCACATTCAGGTTATAGGAAACCCACATATTGCATATTGCTACTCCCCCGCATGGGCTATAGAAAACCTGCAGAGTGCGTATGCAACTCCCACACTACAGAACTCTGTAAAGTGCTTCTAACTACACCGAGCGTACAGAATCCCATAAACTGCATCTCTCACCACCCAGCTTACTGAACTCCAGTAAGCTGCGTCTCCTACAGTTAAGCTACACCAAAACCGCAAATCGCGTATTGCTACTCCCAAGCTACACAACACTGTATACTGCTTTTCTATATACCAGGGAAACAGAACTCTCATCAACTACATTGCCCTTCACCAATGTTACAAAACAACCGTTGCTGCATCTCCCACACTCGTGTTATGGAAAACCTGCATATTGTGCATTGCTACTTCCATGCTACAGAACTCTGTAAAGTACTTCTCTGTACATCCAGGCTACAGAACTCTTGTAAACTGCTTCTCTCTAGACCCAGGATACAGAAATACTGCAAGCTGCGTTTGCTACACTCACGCTACGGATATCCCAGATATAGCGTACTCCAACTCCCAGGCTACAGAACTCTTGTAAACTGCTTCATTCTACACCCAGGATACGGAACTCTGTTAAACTGCATCTCTCTACCCCAATGTCACAAAAAGCACGTGAGCTGCATCTCCTACACTCAGGCTATAGAAATCCCACTTATTTCGAATGTCTACTCCCAGGCTACAGAACTCTTGTACACTGCATATCCCAAGACCCAGGATACTGAAATACCACAAGCTGTGTCTTCTACACATAAGCCACAGGTATCCCAGATATTGGGAATGCCTACTCCCAGGCTACAGAACTGGTGCAAACTGCTTCTCTCAACACTCAGGTTACTGAAATCCTTTACAGTGCGAACGCCTACCCCCAGGCATTCATTCTACAGCTCATAGCAAACCCGCATATTGCGTATTGCTAGTCCCAGGCTCCAGAACTCTTGTAAACGCCTTCATTCTACACCCAGGATACAGAATTCTGGTAAACTGCATCTCTCTACCCAACCTAACAACAAGCACATGAGCTGCATCTCCCACATTCAGGTTATAGGAAACCCACATATTGCATATTGCTACTCCCCCGCATGGGCTATAGAAAACCTGCAGAGTGCGTATGCAACTCCCACACTACAGAACTCTGTAAAGTGCTTCTAACTACACCGAGCGTACAGAATCCCATAAACTGCATCTCTCACCACCCAGCTTACTGAACTCCAGTAAGCTGCGTCTCCTACAGTTAAGCTACACCAAAACCGCAAATCGCGTATTGCTACTCCCAAGCTACACAACACTGTATACTGCTTTTCTATATACCAGGGAAACAGAACTCTCATCAACTACATTGCCCTTCACCAATGTTACAAAACAACCGTTGCTGCATCTCCCACACTCGTGTTATGGAAAACCTGCATATTGTGCATTGCTACTTCCATGCTACAGAACTCTGTAAAGTACTTCTCTGTACATCCAGGCTACAGAACTCTTGTAAACTGCTTCTCTCTAGACCCAGGATACAGAAATACTGCAAGCTGCGTTTGCTACACTCACGCTACGGATATCCCAGATATAGCGTACTCCAACTCCCAGGCTACAGAACTCTTGTAAACTGCTTCATTCTACACCCAGGATACGGAACTCTGTTAAACTGCATCTCTCTACCCCAATGTCACAAAAAGCACGTGAGCTGCATCTCCTACACTCAGGCTATAGAAATCCCACTTATTTCGAATGTCTACTCCCAGGCTACAGAACTCTTGTAAGCTTCTTCTTTCTAGACCTAGGATACAGAAATACGGTAAGCTGTGTCTGCTGCACCAAGGCTACAGATATCCCAGATATTGCGAATGCCTACTCCCAGGCTACAGAACTGGTGCAAACTGCTTCTCTCAATACCCAGGTTACAGAAATCCTGTACAGTGCGAATGCCTACTCCCAGGCATTCATTCTACAGCTCATAGCAAACCCGCATATTGCGTATTGCTAGTCCCAGGCTCCAGAACTCTTGTAAACGCCTTCATTCTACACCCAGGATACAGAATTCTGGTAAACTGCATCTCTCTACCCAACCTAACAACAAGCACATGAGCTGCATCTCCCACATTCAGGTTATAGGAAACCCACATATTGTGTATTGCTACTCCCACGCTACAGAACTCGGTAAACTGTTTCTCTCTGTAAGCAGCTTCCACAATTCCCATAAACTGCATCTCTCCACACCCAGCTTATAGAACTCCCGGAGGCTGCATTTCCCTGCAACCACGTTACAGAACACCCATTAGCTGCATCTCCCACACACGGGCTATAGAAAACCTGCAGAGTGCATATTGCTACTCCCACACTACAGAACTCTGTAAAGTGCTTCTAACTACACCGAGCGTACAGAATCCCATAAACTGCATCTCTCACCACCCAGCTTACTGAACTCCCCTAAGCTGCGTCTCCTACAGTTAAGCTACACAAAAACCGCAAATCGCGTATTGCTACTCCCAAGCTACACAACACTGTATACTGCTTTTCCATATACCAGGGAAACAGAACTCTCATCAACTACATTGCCCTTCACCAATGTCACAAAACCCCCGTTACCTTGTCTCCCTCACTCGTGTTATGGAAAACCTGCATATTGTGCATTGCTACTTCCATGCTACAGAACTCTGTAAAGTACTTCTCTGTACATCCAGACTACAGAACTCTTGTACACTGCTTCTCTCTAGACCAAGGATACAGAAATACCGCAAGCTGTGTCTGCTATACTCACGCTACAGATGTTCCAGATATTGCGTACTCCTACTCCCAGGCTACAGAACTCTTGTACACTGCATATCCCAAGACCCAGGATACTGAAATACCACAAGCTGTGTCTTCTACACATAAGCCACAGGTATCCCAGATATTGGGAATGCCTACTCCCAGGCTACAGAACTGGTGCAAACTGCTTCTCTCAACACTCAGGTTACTGAAATCCTTTACAGTGCGAACGCCTACCCCCAGGCATTCATTCTACAGCTCATAGCAAACCCGCATATTGCGTATTGCTAGTCCCAGGCTCCAGAACTCTTGTAAACGCCTTCATTCTACACCCAGGATACAGAATTCTGGTAAACTGCATCTCTCTACCCAACCTAACAACAAGCACATGAGCTGCATCTCCCACATTCAGGTTATAGGAAACCCACATATTGCATATTGCTACTCCCCCGCATGGGCTATAGAAAACCTGCAGAGTGCGTATGCAACTCCCACACTACAGAACTCTGTAAAGTGCTTCTAACTACACCGAGCGTACAGAATCCCATAAACTGCATCTCTCACCACCCAGCTTACTGAACTCCAGTAAGCTGCGTCTCCTACAGTTAAGCTACACCAAAACCGCAAATCGCGTATTGCTACTCCCAAGCTACACAACACTGTATACTGCTTTTCTATATACCAGGGAAACAGAACTCTCATCAACTACATTGCCCTTCACCAATGTTACAAAACAACCGTTGCTGCATCTCCCACACTCGTGTTATGGAAAACCTGCATATTGTGCATTGCTACTTCCATGCTACAGAACTCTGTAAAGTACTTCTCTGTACATCCAGGCTACAGAACTCTTGTAAACTGCTTCTCTCTAGACCCAGGATACAGAAATACTGCAAGCTGCGTTTGCTACACTCACGCTACGGATATCCCAGATATAGCGTACTCCAACTCCCAGGCTACAGAACTCTTGTAAACTGCTTCATTCTACACCCAGGATACGGAACTCTGTTAAACTGCATCTCTCTACCCCAATGTCACAAAAAGCACGTGAGCTGCATCTCCTACACTCAGGCTATAGAAATCCCACTTATTTCGAATGTCTACTCCCAGGCTACAGAACTCTTGTAAGCTTCTTCTTTCTAGACCTAGGATACAGAAATACGGTAAGCTGTGTCTGCTGCACCAAGGCTACAGATATCCCAGATATTGCGAATGCCTACTCCCAGGCTACAGAACTGGTGCAAACTGCTTCTCTCAATACCCAGGTTACAGAAATCCTGTACAGTGCGAATGCCTACTCCCAGGCATTCATTCTACAGCTCATAGCAAACCCGCATATTGCGTATTGCTAGTCCCAGGCTCCAGAACTCTTGTAAACGCCTTCATTCTACACCCAGGATACAGAATTCTGGTAAACTGCATCTCTCTACCCAACCTAACAACAAGCACATGAGCTGCATCTCCCACATTCAGGTTATAGGAAACCCACATATTGTGTATTGCTACTCCCACGCTACAGAACTCGGTAAACTGTTTCTCTCTGTAAGCAGCTTCCACAATTCCCATAAACTGCATCTCTCCACACCCAGCTTATAGAACTCCCGGAGGCTGCATTTCCCTGCAACCACGTTACAGAACACCCATTAGCTGCATCTCCCACACACGGGCTATAGAAAACCTGCAGAGTGCATATTGCTACTCCCACACTACAGAACTCTGTAAAGTGCTTCTAACTACACCGAGCGTACAGAATCCCATAAACTGCATCTCTCACCACCCAGCTTACTGAACTCCCCTAAGCTGAGTCTCCTACAGTTAAGCTACACAAAAACCGCAAATCGCGTATTGCTACTCCCAAGCTACACAACACTGTATACTGCTTTTCCATATACCAGGGAAACAGAACTCTCATCAACTACATTGCCCTTCACCAATGTCACAAAACCCCCGTTACCTTGTCTCCCTCACTCGTGTTATGGAAAACCTGCATATTGTGCATTGTTACTTCCATGCTACAGAACTCTGTAAAGTACTTCTCTGTACATCCAGACTACAGAACTCTTGTACACTGCTTCTCTCTAGACCAAGGATACAGAAATACCGCAAGCTGTGTCTGCTATACTCACGCTACAGATGTTCCAGATATTGCGTACTCCTACTCCCAGGCTACAGAACTCTTGTACACTGCATATCCCAAGACCCAGGATACTGAAATACCACAAGCTGTGTCTTCTACACATAAGCCACAGGTATCCCAGATATTGGGAATGCCTACTCCCAGGCTACAGAACTGGTGCAAACTGCTTCTCTCAACACTCAGGTTACTGAAATCCTTTACAGTGCGAACGCCTACCCCCAGGCATTCATTCTACAGCTCATAGCAAACCCGCATATTGCGTATTGCTAGTCCCAGGCTCCAGAACTCTTGTAAACGCCTTCATTCTACACCCAGGATACAGAATTCTGGTAAACTGCATCTCTCTACCCAACCTAACAACAAGCACATGAGCTGCATCTCCCACATTCAGGTTATAGGAAACCCACATATTGCATATTGCTACTCCCCCGCATGGGCTATAGAAAACCTGCAGAGTGCGTATGCAACTCCCACACTACAGAACTCTGTAAAGTGCTTCTAACTACACCGAGCGTACAGAATCCCATAAACTGCATCTCTCACCACCCAGCTTACTGAACTCCAGTAAGCTGCGTCTCCTACAGTTAAGCTACACCAAAACCGCAAATCGCGTATTGCTACTCCCAAGCTACACAACACTGTATACTGCTTTTCTATATACCAGGGAAACAGAACTCTCATCAACTACATTGCCCTTCACCAATGTTACAAAACAACCGTTGCTGCATCTCCCACACTCGTGTTATGGAAAACCTGCATATTGTGCATTGCTACTTCCATGCTACAGAACTCTGTAAAGTACTTCTCTGTACATCCAGGCTACAGAACTCTTGTAAACTGCTTCTCTCTAGACCCAGGATACAGAAATACTGCAAGCTGCGTTTGCTACACTCACGCTACGGATATCCCAGATATAGCGTACTCCAACTCCCAGGCTACAGAACTCTTGTAAACTGCTTCATTCTACACCCAGGATACGGAACTCTGTTAAACTGCATCTCTCTACCCCAATGTCACAAAAAGCACGTGAGCTGCATCTCCTACACTCAGGCTATAGAAATCCCACTTATTTCGAATGTCTACTCCCAGGCTACAGAACTCTTGTAAGCTTCTTCTTTCTAGACCTAGGATACAGAAATACGGTAAGCTGTGTCTGCTGCACCAAGGCTACAGATATCCCAGATATTGCGAATGCCTACTCCCAGGCTACAGAACTGGTGCAAACTGCTTCTCTCAATACCCAGGTTACAGAAATCCTGTACAGTGCGAATGCCTACCCCCAGGCATTCATTCTACAGCTCATAGCAAACCCGCATATTGCGTATTGCTAGTCCCAGGCTCCAGAACTCTTGTAAACGCCTTCATTCTACACCCAGGATACAGAATTCTGGTAAACTGCATCTCTCTACCCAACCTAACAACAAGCACATGAGCTGCATCTCCCACATTCAGGTTATAGGAAACCCACATATTGTGTATTGCACACTCCCACGCTACAGAACTCGGTAAACTGTTTCTCTCTGTAAGCAGCTTCCACAATTCCCATAAACTGCATCTCTCCACACCCAGCTTATAGAACTCCCGGAGGCTGCATTTCCCTGCAACCACGTTACAGAACACCCATTAGCTGCATCTCCCACACACGGGCTATAGAAAACCTGCAGAGTGCATATTGCTACTCCCACACGACAGAACTCTGTAAAGTGCTTCTAACTACACCGAGCGTACAGAATCCCATAAACTGCATCTCTCACCACCCAGCTTACTGAACTCCCCTAAGCTGCGTCTCCTACAGTTAAGCTACACAAAAACCGCAAATCGCGTATTGCTACTCCCAAGCTACACAACACTGTATACTGCTTTTCCATATACCAGGGAAACAGAACTCTCATCAACTACATTGCCCTTCACCAATGACACAAAACCCCCGTTACCTTGTCTCCCTCACTCGTGTTATGGAAAACCTGCATATGGTGCATTGCTACTTCCATGCCACAGAACTCTGTAAAGTACTTCTCTGTACATCCAGACTACAGAACTCTTGTACACTGCTTCTCTCTAGACCAAGGATACAGAAATACCGCAAGCTGTGTCTGCTATACTCACGCTACAGATGTTCCAGATATTGCGTACTCCTACTCCCAGGCTACAGAACTCTTGTACACTGCATATCCCAAGACCCAGGATACTGAAATACCACAAGCTGTGTCTTCTACACATAAGCCACAGGTATCCCAGATATTGGGAATGCCTACTGCCAGGCTACAGAACTGGTGCAAACTGCTTCTCTCAACACTCAGGTTACTGAAATCCTTTACAGTGCGAACGCCTACCCCCAGGCATTCATTCTACAGCTCATAGCAAACCCGCATATTGCGTATTGCTAGTCCCAGGCTCCAGAACTCTTGTAAACGCCTTCATTCTACACCCAGGATACAGAATTCTGGTAAACTGCATCTCTCTACCCAACCTAACAACAAGCACATGAGCTGCATCTCCCACATTCAGGTTATAGGAAACCCACATATTGCATATTGCTACTCCCCCGCATGGGCTATAGAAAACCTGCAGAGTGCGTATGCAACTCCCACACTACAGAACTCTGTAAAGTGCTTCTAACTACACCGAGCGTACAGAATCCCATAAACTGCATCTCTCACCACCCAGCTTACTGAACTCCAGTAAGCTGCGTCTCCTACAGTTAAGCTACACCAAAACCGCAAATCGCGTATTGCTACTCCCAAGCTACACAACACTGTATACTGCTTTTCTATATACCAGGGAAACAGAACTCTCATCAACTACATTGCCCTTCACCAATGTTACAAAACAACCGTTGCTGCATCTCCCACACTCGTGTTATGGAAAACCTGCATATTGTGCATTGCTACTTCCATGCTACAGAACTCTGTAAAGTACTTCTCTGTACATCCAGGCTACAGAACTCTTGTAAACTGCTTCTCTCTAGACCCAGGATACAGAAATACTGCAAGCTGCGTTTGCTACACTCACGCTACGGATATCCCAGATATAGCGTACTCCAACTCCCAGGCTACAGAACTCTTGTAAACTGCTTCATTCTACACCCAGGATACGGAACTCTGTTAAACTGCATCTCTCTACCCCAATGTCACAAAAAGCACGTGAGCTGCATCTCCTACACTCAGGCTATAGAAATCCCACTTATTTCGAATGTCTACTCCCAGGCTACGGAACTCTTGTAAGCTTCTTCTTTCTAGACCTAGGATACAGAAATACGGTAAGCTGTGTCTGCTGCACCAAGGCTACAGATATCCCAGATATTGCGAATGCCTACTCCCAGGCTACAGAACTGGTGCAAACTGCTTCTCTCAATACCCAGGTTACAGAAATCCTGTACAGTGCGAATGCCTACCCCCAGGCATTCATTCTACAGCTCATAGCAAACCCGCATATTGCGTATTGCTAGTCCCAGGCTCCAGAACTCTTGTAAACGCCTTCATTCTACACCCAGGATACAGAATTCTGGTAAACTGCATCTCTCTACCCAACCTAACAACAAGCACATGAGCTGCATCTCCCACATTCAGGTTATAGGAAACCCACATATTGTGTATTGCACACTCCCACGCTACAGAACTCGGTAAACTGTTTCTCTCTGTAAGCAGCTTCCACAATTCCCATAAACTGCATCTCTCCACACCCAGCTTATAGAACTCCCGGAGGCTGCATTTCCCTGCAACCACGTTACAGAACACCCATTAGCTGCATCTCCCACACACGGGCTATAGAAAACCTGCAGAGTGCATATTGCTACTCCCACACGACAGAACTCTGTAAAGTGCTTCTAACTACACCGAGCGTACAGAATCCCATAAACTGCATCTCTCACCACCCAGCTTACTGAACTCCCCTAAGCTGCGTCTCCTACAGTTAAGCTACACAAAAACCGCAAATCGCGTATTGCTACTCCCAAGCTACACAACACTGTATACTGCTTTTCCATATACCAGGGAAACAGAACTCTCATCAACTACATTGCCCTTCACCAATGACACAAAACCCCCGTTACCTTGTCTCCCTCACTCGTGTTATGGAAAACCTGCATATGGTGCATTGCTACTTCCATGCCACAGAACTCTGTAAAGTACTTCTCTGTACATCCAGACTACAGAACTCTTGTACACTGCTTCTCTCTAGACCAAGGATACAGAAATACCGCAAGCTGTGTCTGCTATACTCACGCTACAGATGTTCCAGATATTGCGTACTCCTACTCCCAGGCTACAGAACTCTTGTAAACTGCTTCTCTCTAGACCCAGGATACAGAACTCTGTTAAACTGCATCTCTCTACCCCAATGTCACAAAAAGCACGTGAGCTGCATCTCCTATACTCAGGCTGTAGATATCCCGGATATTGCGAATGCCAAATCCCAGGTTACAGGAATCTTGTAAATTCTCTACACACAGGATACCGAACTCCTGGAAACTGCATTTCCCTTCATCGAGGTTACGGTACTCCCGTCAGCTATGTCTCCCACACTTGGGCTATAGAAAACACGCATATTGCATATTGCGGCTCCCAGAACTTTGTAAACTACTTTTCTCTAACCCAGGTTACAGAACTCCCATACACTGCAGCTCTCACCACCCAGCTTATAGAACTCACGGAGGCTGCATTTCCCTGCAACCACGTTACAGAACACCCGTTAGCTGCATCTCCCACACACGGGCTATAGAAAACCTGCAGAGTGCATATTGCTACTCCCACACTACAGAACTCTGTAAAGTGCTTCTAACTACACCGAGCGTACAGAATCCCATAAACTGCATCTCTCACCACCCAGCTTACTGAACTCCCCTAAGCTGCGTCTCCTACAGTTAAGCTACACAAAAACCGCAAATCGCGTATTGCTACTCCCAAGCTACACAACACTGTATACTGCTTTTCCATATACCAGGGAAACAGAACTCTCATCAACTACATTGCCCTTCACCAATGTCACAAAACCCCCGTTACCTTGTCTCCCTCACTCGTGTTATGGAAAACCTGCATATGGTGCATTGCTACTTCCATGCCACAGAACTCTGTAAAGTACTTCTCTGTACATCCAGACTACAGAACTCTTGTACACTGCTTCTCCTCTAGACCAAGGATACAGAAATACCGCAAGCTGTGTCTGCTATACTCACGCTACAGATGTTCCAGATATTGCGTACTCCTACTCCCAGGCTACAGAACTCTTGTACACTGCATATCCCAAGACCCAGGATACTGAAATACCACAAGCTGTGTCTTCTACACATAAGCCACAGGTATCCCAGATATTGGGAATGCCTACTGCCAGGCTACAGAACTGGTGCAAACTGCTTCTCTCAACACTCAGGTTACTGAAATCCTTTACAGTGCGAACGCCTACCCCCAGGCATTCATTCTACAGCTCATAGCAAACCCGCATATTGCGTATTGCTAGTCCCAGGCTCCAGAACTCTTGTAAACGCCTTCATTCTACACCCAGGATACAGAATTCTGGTAAACTGCATCTCTCTACCCAACCTAACAACAAGCACATGAGCTGCATCTCCCACATTCAGGTTATAGGAAACCCACATATTGCATATTGCTACTCCCCCGCATGGGCTATAGAAAACCTGCAGAGTGCGTATGCAACTCCCACACTACAGAACTCTGTAAAGTGCTTCTAACTACACCGAGCGTACAGAATCCCATAAACTGCATCTCTCACCACCCAGCTTACTGAACTCCAGTAAGCTGCGTCTCCTACAGTTAAGCTACACCAAAACCGCAAATCGCGTATTGCTACTCCCAAGCTACACAACACTGTATACTGCTTTTCCATATACCAGGGAAACAGAACTCTCATCAACTACATTGCCCTTCACCAATGTTACAAAACAACCGTTGCTGCATCTCCCACACTCGTGTTATGGAAAACCTGCATATTGTGCATTGCTACTTCCATGCTACAGAACTCTGTAAAGTACTTCTCTGTACATCCAGGCTACAGAACTCTTGTAAACTGCTTCTCTCTAGACCCAGGATACAGAAATACTGCAAGCTGCGTTTGCTACACTCACGCTACGGATATCCCAGATATAGCGTACTCCAACTCCCAGGCTACAGAACTCTTGTAAACTGCTTCATTCTACACCCAGGATACGGAACTCTGTTAAACTGCATCTCTCTACCCCAATGTCACAAAAAGCACGTGAGCTGCATCTCCTACACTCAGGCTATAGAAATCCCACTTATTTCGAATGTCTACTCCCAGGCTACGGAACTCTTGTAAGCTTCTTCTTTCTAGACCTAGGATACAGAAATACGGTAAGCTGTGTCTGCTGCACCAAGGCTACAGATATCCCAGATATTGCGAATGCCTACTCCCAGGCTACAGAACTGGTGCAAACTGCTTCTCTCAATACCCAGGTTACAGAAATCCTGTACAGTGCGAATGCCTACCCCCAGGCATTCATTCTACAGCTCATAGCAAACCCGCATATTGCGTATTGCTAGTCCCAGGCTCCAGAACTCTTGTAAACGCCTTCATTCTACACCCAGGATACAGAATTCTGGTAAACTGCATCTCTCTACCCAACCTAACAACAAGCACATGAGCTGCATCTCCCACATTCAGGTTATAGGAAACCCACATATTGTGTATTGCACACTCCCACGCTACAGAACTCGGTAAACTGTTTCTCTCTGTAAGCAGCTTCCACAATTCCCATAAACTGCATCTCTCCACACCCAGCTTATAGAACTCCCGGAGGCTGCATTTCCCTGCAACCACGTTACAGAACACCCATTAGCTGCATCTCCCACACACGGGCTATAGAAAACCTGCAGAGTGCATATTGCTACTCCCACACGACAGAACTCTGTAAAGTGCTTCTAACTACACCGAGCGTACAGAATCCCATAAACTGCATCTCTCACCACCCAGCTTACTGAACTCCCCTAAGCTGCGTCTCCTACAGTTAAGCTACACAAAAACCGCAAATCGCGTATTGCTACTCCCAAGCTACACAACACTGTATACTGCTTTTCCATATACCAGGGAAACAGAACTCTCATCAACTACATTGCCCTTCACCAATGTACACAAAACCCCCGTTACCTTGTCTCCCTCACTCGTGTTATGGAAAACCTGCATATGGTGCATTGCTACTTCCATGCCACAGAACTCTGTAAAGTACTTCTCTGTACATCCAGACTACAGAACTCTTGTACACTGCTTCTCTCTAGACCAAGGATACAGAAATACCGCAAGCTGTGTCTGCTATACTCACGCTACAGATGTTCCAGATATTGCGTACTCCTACTCCCAGGCTACAGAACTCTTGTAAACTGCTTCTCTCTAGACCCAGGATACAGAACTCTGTTAAACTGCATCTCTCTACCCCAATGTCACAAAAAGCACGTGAGCTGCATCTCCTATACTCAGGCTGTAGATATCCCGGATATTGCGAATGCCAAATCCCAGGTTACAGGAATCTTGTAAATTCTCTACACACAGGATACCGAACTCCTGGAAACTGCATTTCCCTTCATCGAGGTTACGGTACTCCAGTCAGCTATGTCTCCCACACTTGGGCTATAGAAAACACGCATATTGCATATTGCGGCTCCCAGAACTTTGTAAACTACTTTTCTCTAACCCAGGTTACAGAACTCCCATACACTGCAGCTCTCACCACCCAGCTTATAGAACTCCCGGAGGCTGCATTTCCCTGCAACCACGTTACAGAACACCCGTTAGCTGCATCTCCCACACACGGGCTATAGAAAACCTGCAGAGTGCATATTGCTACTCCCACACTACAGAACTCTGTAAAGTGCTTCTAACTACACCGAGCGTACAGAATCCCATAAACTGCATCTCTCACCACCCAGCTTACTGAACTCCCCTAAGCTGCGTCTCCTACAGTTAAGCTACACAAAAACCGCAAATCGCGTATTGCTACTCCCAAGCTACACAACACTGTATACTGCTTTTCCATATACCAGGGAAACAGAACTCTCATCAACTACATTGCCCTTCACCAATGTCACAAAACCCCCGTTACCTTGTCTCCCTCACTCGTGTTATGGAAAACCTGCATATGGTGCATTGCTACTTCCATGCCACAGAACTCTGTAAAGTACTTCTCTGTACATCCAGACTACAGAACTCTTGTACACTGCTTCTCTCTAGACCAAGGATACAGAAATACCGCAAGCTGTGTCTGCTATACTCACGCTACAGATGTTCCAGATATTGCGTACTCCTACTCCCAGGCTACAGAACTCTTGTACACTGCATATCCCAAGACCCAGGATACTGAAATACCACAAGCTGTGTCTTCTACACATAAGCCACAGGTATCCCAGATATTGGGAATGCCTACTGCCAGGCTACAGAACTGGTGCAAACTGCTTCTCTCAACACTCAGGTTACTGAAATCCTTTACAGTGCGAACGCCTACCCCAGGCATTCATTCTACAGCTCATAGCAAACCCGCATATTGCGTATTGCTAGTCCCAGGCTCCAGAACTCTTGTAAACGCCTTCATTCTACACCCAGGATACAGAATTCTGGTAAACTGCATCTCTCTACCCAACCTAACAACAAGCACATGAGCTGCATCTCCCACATTCAGGTTATAGGAAACCCACATATTGCATATTGCTACTCCCCCGCATGGGCTATAGAAAACCTGCAGAGTGCGTATGCAACTCCCACACTACAGAACTCTGTAAAGTGCTTCTAACTACACCGAGCGTACAGAATCCCATAAACTGCATCTCTCACCACCCAGCTTACTGAACTCCAGTAAGCTGCGTCTCCTACAGTTAAGCTACACCAAAACCGCAAATCGCGTATTGCTACTCCCAAGCTACACAACACTGTATACTGCTTTTCTATATACCAGGGAAACAGAACTCTCATCAACTACATTGCCCTTCACCAATGTTACAAAACAACCGTTGCTGCATCTCCCACACTCGTGTTATGGAAAACCTGCATATTGTGCATTGCTACTTCCATGCTACAGAACTCTGTAAAGTACTTCTCTGTACATCCAGGCTACAGAACTCTTGTAAACTGCTTCTCTCTAGACCCAGGATACAGAAATACTGCAAGCTGCGTTTGCTACACTCACGCTACGGATATCCCAGATATAGCGTACTCCAACTCCCAGGCTACAGAACTCTTGTAAACTGCTTCATTCTACACCCAGGATACGGAACTCTGTTAAACTGCATCTCTCTACCCCAATGTCACAAAAAGCACGTGAGCTGCATCTCCTACACTCAGGCTATAGAAATCCCACTTATTTCGAATGTCTACTCCCAGGCTACAGAACTCTTGTAAGCTTCTTCTTTCTAGACCTAGGATACAGAAATACGGTAAGCTGTGTCTGCTACACATAAGCCACAGGTATCCCAGATATTGGGAATGCCTACTCCCAGGCTACAGAACTGGTGCAAACTGCTTCTCTCAACACTCAGGTTACTGAAATCCTTTACAGTGCGAACGCCTACCCCCAGGCATTCATTCTACAGCTCATAGCAAACCCGCATATTGCGTATTGCTAGTCCCAGGCTCCAGAACTCTTGTAAACGCCTTCATTCTACACCCAGGATACAGAATTCTGGTAAACTGCATCTCTCTACCCAACCTAACAACAAGCACATGAGCTGCATCTCCCACATTCAGGTTATAGGAAACCCACATATTGCATATTGCTACTCCCCCGCATGGGCTATAGAAAACCTGCAGAGTGCGTATGCAACTCCCACACTACAGAACTCTGTAAAGTGCTTCTAACTACACCGAGCGTACAGAATCCCATAAACTGCATCTCTCACCACCCAGCTTACTGAACTCCAGTAAGCTGCGTCTCCTACAGTTAAGCTACACCAAAACCGCAAATCGCGTATTGCTACTCCCAAGCTACACAACACTGTATACTGCTTTTCTATATACCAGGGAAACAGAACTCTCATCAACTACATTGCCCTTCACCAATGTTACAAAACAACCGTTGCTGCATCTCCCACACTCGTGTTATGGAAAACCTGCATATTGTGCATTGCTACTTCCATGCTACAGAACTCTGTAAAGTACTTCTCTGTACATCCAGGCTACAGAACTCTTGTAAACTGCTTCTCTCTAGACCCAGGATACAGAAATACTGCAAGCTGCGTTTGCTACACTCACGCTACGGATATCCCAGATATAGCGTACTCCAACTCCCAGGCTACAGAACTCTTGTAAACTGCTTCATTCTACACCCAGGATACGGAACTCTGTTAAACTGCATCTCTCTACCCCAATGTCACAAAAAGCACGTGAGCTGCATCTCCTACACTCAGGCTATAGAAATCCCACTTATTTCGAATGTCTACTCCCAGGCTACAGAACTCTTGTAAGCTTCTTCTTTCTAGACCTAGGATACAGAAATACGGTAAGCTGTGTCTGCTGCACCAAGGCTACAGATATCCCAGATATTGCGAATGCCTACTCCCAGGCTACAGAACTGGTGCAAACTGCTTCTCTCAATACCCAGGTTACAGAAATCCTGTACAGTGCGAATGCCTACCCCCAGGCATTCATTCTACAGCTCATAGCAAACCCGCATATTGCGTATTGCTAGTCCCAGGCTCCAGAACTCTTGTAAACGCCTTCATTCTACACCCAGGATACAGAATTCTGGTAAACTGCATCTCTCTACCCAACCTAACAACAAGCACATGAGCTGCATCTCCCACATTCAGGTTATAGGAAACCCACATATTGTGTATTGCACACTCCCACGCTACAGAACTCGGTAAACTGTTTCTCTCTGTAAGCAGCTTCCACAATTCCCATAAACTGCATCTCTCCACACCCAGCTTATAGAACTCCCGGAGGCTGCATTTCCCTGCAACCACGTTACAGAACACCCATTAGCTGCATCTCCCACACACGGGCTATAGAAAACCTGCAGAGTGCATATTGCTACTCCCACACGACAGAACTCTGTAAAGTGCTTCTAACTACACCGAGCGTACAGAATCCCATAAACTGCATCTCTCACCACCCAGCTTACTGAACTCCCCTAAGCTGCGTCTCCTACAGTTAAGCTACACAAAAACCGCAAATCGCGTATTGCTACTCCCAAGCTACACAACACTGTATACTGCTTTTCCATATACCAGGGAAACAGAACTCTCATCAACTACATTGCCCTTCACCAATGTCACAAAACCCCCGTTACCTTGTCTCCCTCACTCGTGTTATGGAAAACCTGCATATGGTGCATTGCTACTTCCATGCCACAGAACTCTGTAAAGTACTTCTCTGTACATCCAGACTACAGAACTCTTGTACACTGCTTCTCTCTAGACCAAGGATACAGAAATACCGCAAGCTGTGTCTGCTATACTCACGCTACAGATGTTCCAGATATTGCGTACTCCTACTCCCAGGCTACAGAACTCTTGTACACTGCATATCCCAAGACCCAGGATACTGAAATACCACAAGCTGTGTCTTCTACACATAAGCCACAGGTATCCCAGATATTGGGAATGCCTACTGCCAGGCTACAGAACTGGTGCAAACTGCTTCTCTCAACACTCAGGTTACTGAAATCCTTTACAGTGCGAACGCCTACCCCCAGGCATTCATTCTACAGCTCATAGCAAACCCGCATATTGCGTATTGCTAGTCCCAGGCTCCAGAACTCTTGTAAACGCCTTCATTCTACACCCAGGATACAGAATTCTGGTAAACTGCATCTCTCTACCCAACCTAACAACAAGCACATGAGCTGCATCTCCCACATTCAGGTTATAGGAAACCCACATATTGCATATTGCTACTCCCCCGCATGGGCTATAGAAAACCTGCAGAGTGCGTATGCAACTCCCACACTACAGAACTCTGTAAAGTGCTTCTAACTACACCGAGCGTACAGAATCCCATAAACTGCATCTCTCACCACCCAGCTTACTGAACTCCAGTAAGCTGCGTCTCCTACAGTTAAGCTACACCAAAACCGCAAATCGCGTATTGCTACTCCCAAGCTACACAACACTGTATACTGCTTTTCTATATACCAGGGAAACAGAACTCTCATCAACTACATTGCCCTTCACCAATGTTACAAAACAACCGTTGCTGCATCTCCCACACTCGTGTTATGGAAAACCTGCATATTGTGCATTGCTACTTCCATGCTACAGAACTCTGTAAAGTACTTCTCTGTACATCCAGGCTACAGAACTCTTGTAAACTGCTTCTCTCTAGACCCAGGATACAGAAATACTGCAAGCTGCGTTTGCTACACTCACGCTACGGATATCCCAGATATAGCGTACTCCAACTCCCAGGCTACAGAACTCTTGTAAACTGCTTCATTCTACACCCAGGATACGGAACTCTGTTAAACTGCATCTCTCTACCCCAATGTCACAAAAAGCACGTGAGCTGCATCTCCTACACTCAGGCTATAGAAATCCCACTTATTTCGAATGTCTACTCCCAGGCTACAGAACTCTTGTAAGCTTCTTCTTTCTAGACCTAGGATACAGAAATACGGTAAGCTGTGTCTGCTGCACCAAGGCTACAGATATCCCAGATATTGCGAATGCCTACTCCCAGGCTACAGAACTGGTGCAAACTGCTTCTCTCAATACCCAGGTTACAGAAATCCTGTACAGTGCGAATGCCTACCCCCAGGCATTCATTCTACAGCTCATAGCAAACCCGCATATTGCGTATTGCTAGTCCCAGGCTCCAGAACTCTTGTAAACGCCTTCATTCTACACCCAGGATACAGAATTCTGGTAAACTGCATCTCTCTACCCAACCTAACAACAAGCACATGAGCTGCATCTCCCACATTCAGGTTATAGGAAACCCACATATTGTGTATTGCTACTCCCACGCTACAGAACTCGGTAAACTGTTTCTCTCTGTAAGCAGCTTCCACAATTCCCATAAACTGCATCTCTCCACACCCAGCTTATAGAACTCCCGGAGGCTGCATTTCCCTGCAACCACGTTACAGAACACCCATTAGCTGCATCTCCCACACACGGGCTATAGAAAACCTGCAGAGTGCATATTGCTACTCCCACACGACAGAACTCTGTAAAGTGCTTCTAACTACACCGAGCGTACAGAATCCCATAAACTGCATCTCTCACCACCCAGCTTACTGAACTCCCCTAAGCTGCGTCTCCTACAGTTAAGCTACACAAAAACCGCAAATCGCGTATTGCTACTCCCAAGCTACACAACACTGTATACTGCTTTTCCATATACCAGGGAAACAGAACTCTCATCAACTACATTGCCCTTCACCAATGTCACAAAACCCCCGTTACCTTGTCTCCCTCACTCGTGTTATGGAAAACCTGCATATTGTGCATTGCTACTTCCATGCTACAGAACTCTGTAAAGTACTTCTCTGTACATCCAGACTACAGAACTCTTGTACACTGCTTCTCTCTAGACCAAGGATACAGAAATACCGCAAGCTGTGTCTGCTATACTCACGCTACAGATGTTCCAGATATTGCGTACTCCTACTCCCAGGCTACAGAACTCTTGTACACTGCATATCCCAAGACCCAGGATACTGAAATACCACAAGCTGTGTCTTCTACACATAAGCCACAGGTATCCCAGATATTGGGAATGCCTACTGCCAGGCTACAGAACTGGTGCAAACTGCTTCTCTCAACACTCAGGTTACTGAAATCCTTTACAGTGCGAACGCCTACCCCCAGGCATTCATTCTACAGCTCATAGCAAACCCGCATATTGCGTATTGCTAGTCCCAGGCTCCAGAACTCTTGTAAACGCCTTCATTCTACACCCAGGATACAGAATTCTGGTAAACTGCATCTCTCTACCCAACCTAACAACAAGCACATGAGCTGCATCTCCCACATTCAGGTTATAGGAAACCCACATATTGCATATTGCTACTCCCCCGCATGGGCTATAGAAAACCTGCAGAGTGCGTATGCAACTCCCACACTACAGAACTCTGTAAAGTGCTTCTAACTACACCGAGCGTACAGAATCCCATAAACTGCATCTCTCACCACCCAGCTTACTGAACTCCAGTAAGCTGCGTCTCCTACAGTTAAGCTACACCAAAACCGCAAATCGCGTATTGCTACTCCCAAGCTACACAACACTGTATACTGCTTTTCTATATACCAGGGAAACAGAACTCTCATCAACTACATTGCCCTTCACCAATGTTACAAAACAACCGTTGCTGCATCTCCCACACTCGTGTTATGGAAAACCTGCATATTGTGCATTGCTACTTCCATGCTACAGAACTCTGTAAAGTACTTCTCTGTACATCCAGGCTACAGAACTCTTGTAAACTGCTTCTCTCTAGACCCAGGATACAGAAATACTGCAAGCTGCGTTTGCTACACTCACGCTACGGATATCCCAGATATAGCGTACTCCAACTCCCAGGCTACAGAACTCTTGTAAACTGCTTCATTCTACACCCAGGATACGGAACTCTGTTAAACTGCATCTCTCTACCCCAATGTCACAAAAAGCACGTGAGCTGCATCTCCTACACTCAGGCTATAGAAATCCCACTTATTTCGAATGTCTACTCCCAGGCTACAGAACTCTTGTAAGCTTCTTCTTTCTAGACCTAGGATACAGAAATACGGTAAGCTGTGTCTGCTGCACCAAGGCTACAGATATCCCAGATATTGCGAATGCCTACTCCCAGGCTACAGAACTGGTGCAAACTGCTTCTCTCAATACCCAGGTTACAGAAATCCTGTACAGTGCGAATGCCTACTCCCAGGCATTCATTCTACAGCTCATAGCAAACCCGCATATTGCGTATTGCTAGTCCCAGGCTCCAGAACTCTTGTAAACGCCTTCATTCTACACCCAGGATACAGAATTCTGGTAAACTGCATCTCTCTACCCAACCTAACAACAAGCACATGAGCTGCATCTCCCACATTCAGGTTATAGGAAACCCACATATTGCATATTGCTACTCCCCCGCATGGGCTATAGAAAACCTGCAGAGTGCGTATGCAACTCCCACACTACAGAACTCTGTAAAGTGCTTCTAACTACACCGAGCGTACAGAATCCCATAAACTGCATCTCTCACCACCCAGCTTACTGAACTCCAGTAAGCTGCGTCTCCTACAGTTAAGCTACACCAAAACCGCAAATCGCGTATTGCTACTCCCAAGCTACACAACACTGTATACTGCTTTTCTATATACCAGGGAAACAGAACTCTCATCAACTACATTGCCCTTCACCAATGTTACAAAACAACCGTTGCTGCATCTCCCACACTCGTGTTATGGAAAACCTGCATATTGTGCATTGCTACTTCCATGCTACAGAACTCTGTAAAGTACTTCTCTGTACATCCAGGCTACAGAACTCTTGTAAACTGCTTCTCTCTAGACCCAGGATACAGAAATACTGCAAGCTGCGTTTGCTACACTCACGCTACGGATATCCCAGATATAGCGTACTCCAACTCCCAGGCTACAGAACTCTTGTAAACTGCTTCATTCTACACCCAGGATACGGAACTCTGTTAAACTGCATCTCTCTACCCCAATGTCACAAAAAGCACGTGAGCTGCATCTCCTACACTCAGGCTATAGAAATCCCACTTATTTCGAATGTCTACTCCCAGGCTACAGAACTCTTGTAAGCTTCTTCTTTCTAGACCTAGGATACAGAAATACGGTAAGCTGTGTCTGCTGCACCAAGGCTACAGATATCCCAGATATTGCGAATGCCTACTCCCAGGCTACAGAACTGGTGCAAACTGCTTCTCTCAATACCCAGGTTACAGAAATCCTGTACAGTGCGAATGCCTACTCCCAGGCATTCATTCTACAGCTCATAGCAAACCCGCATATTGCGTATTGCTAGTCCCAGGCTCCAGAACTCTTGTAAACGCCTTCATTCTACACCCAGGATACAGAATTCTGGTAAACTGCATCTCTCTACCCAACCTAACAACAAGCACATGAGCTGCATCTCCCACATTCAGGTTATAGGAAACCCACATATTGTGTATTGCTACTCCCACGCTACAGAACTCGGTAAACTGTTTCTCTCTGTAAGCAGCTTCCACAATTCCCATAAACTGCATCTCTCCACACCCAGCTTATAGAACTCCCGGAGGCTGCATTTCCCTGCAACCACGTTACAGAACACCCATTAGCTGCATCTCCCACACACGGGCTATAGAAAACCTGCAGAGTGCATATTGCTACTCCCACACTACAGAACTCTGTAAAGTGCTTCTAACTACACCGAGCGTACAGAATCCCATAAACTGCATCTCTCACCACCCAGCTTACTGAACTCCCCTAAGCTGCGTCTCCTACAGTTAAGCTACACAAAAACCGCAAATCGCGTATTGCTACTCCCAAGCTACACAACACTGTATACTGCTTTTCCATATACCAGGGAAACAGAACTCTCATCAACTACATTGCCCTTCACCAATGTCACAAAACCCCCGTTACCTTGTCTCCCTCACTCGTGTTATGGAAAACCTGCATATGGTGCATTGCTACTTCCATGCCTACAGAACTCTGTAAAGTACTTCTCTGTACATCCAGACTACAGAACTCTTGTACACTGCTTCTCTCTAGACCAAGGATACAGAAATACCGCAAGCTGTGTCTGCTATACTCACGCTACAGATGTTCCAGATATTGCGTACTCCTACTCCCAGGCTACAGAACTCTTGTACACTGCATATCCCAAGACCCAGGATACTGAAATACCACAAGCTGTGTCTTCTACACATAAGCCACAGGTATCCCAGATATTGGGAATGCCTACTGCCAGGCTACAGAACTGGTGCAAACTGCTTCTCTCAACACTCAGGTTACTGAAATCCTTTACAGTGCGAACGCCTACCCCCAGGCATTCATTCTACAGCTCATAGCAAACCCGCATATTGCGTATTGCTAGTCCCAGGCTCCAGAACTCTTGTAAACGCCTTCATTCTACACCCAGGATACAGAATTCTGGTAAACTGCATCTCTCTACCCAACCTAACAACAAGCACATGAGCTGCATCTCCCACATTCAGGTTATAGGAAACCCACATATTGCATATTGCTACTCCCCCGCATGGGCTATAGAAAACCTGCAGAGTGCGTATGCAACTCCCACACTACAGAACTCTGTAAAGTGCTTCTAACTACACCGAGCGTACAGAATCCCATAAACTGCATCTCTCACCACCCAGCTTACTGAACTCCAGTAAGCTGCGTCTCCTACAGTTAAGCTACACCAAAACCGCAAATCGCGTATTGCTACTCCCAAGCTACACAACACTGTATACTGCTTTTCTATATACCAGGGAAACAGAACTCTCATCAACTACATTGCCCTTCACCAATGTTACAAAACAACCGTTGCTGCATCTCCCACACTCGTGTTATGGAAAACCTGCATATTGTGCATTGCTACTTCCATGCTACAGAACTCTGTAAAGTACTTCTCTGTACATCCAGGCTACAGAACTCTTGTAAACTGCTTCTCTCTAGACCCAGGATACAGAAATACTGCAAGCTGCGTTTGCTACACTCACGCTACGGATATCCCAGATATAGCGTACTCCAACTCCCAGGCTACAGAACTCTTGTAAACTGCTTCATTCTACACCCAGGATACGGAACTCTGTTAAACTGCATCTCTCTACCCCAATGTCACAAAAAGCACGTGAGCTGCATCTCCTACACTCAGGCTATAGAAATCCCACTTATTTCGAATGTCTACTCCCAGGCTACAGGAACTCTTGTAAGCTTCTTCTTTCTAGACCTAGGATACAGAAATACGGTAAGCTGTGTCTGCTGCACCAAGGCTACAGATATCCCAGATATTGCGAATGCCTACTCCCAGGCTACAGAACTGGTGCAAACTGCTTCTCTCAATACCCAGGTTACAGAAATCCTGTACAGTGCGAATGCCTACTCCCAGGCATTCATTCTACAGCTCATAGCAAACCCGCATATTGCGTATTGCTAGTCCCAGGCTCCAGAACTCTTGTAAACGCCTTCATTCTACACCCAGGATACAGAATTCTGGTAAACTGCATCTCTCTACCCAACCTAACAACAAGCACATGAGCTGCATCTCCCACATTCAGGTTATAGGAAACCCACATATTGTGTATTGCTACTCCCACGCTACAGAACTCGGTAAACTGTTTCTCTCTGTAAGCAGCTTCCACAATTCCCATAAACTGCATCTCTCCACACCCAGCTTATAGAACTCCCGGAGGCTGCATTTCCCTGCAACCACGTTACAGAACACCCATTAGCTGCATCTCCCACACACGGGCTATAGAAAACCTGCAGAGTGCATATTGCTACTCCCACACTACAGAACTCTGTAAAGTGCTTCTAACTACACCGAGCGTACAGAATCCCATAAACTGCATCTCTCACCACCCAGCTTACTGAACTCCCCTAAGCTGCGTCTCCTACAGTTAAGCTACACAAAAACCGCAAATCGCGTATTGCTACTCCCAAGCTACACAACACTGTATACTGCTTTTCCATATACCAGGGAAACAGAACTCTCATCAACTACATTGCCCTTCACCAATGTCACAAAACCCCCGTTAC